TATATATATATATATATATATATATATACCGACATTTCCTTACTAAAGATGGGAAATATATAGAATTAACTGAACAAGTCAAACGTACAACTTGAAAGAGCATCAGAAAATTTGGCCTAACCGAAGAACACCAAGCATGAGATGAGCCAAGAAGACAAAAATGTATAATTCTCCATAATATAATCTAGGTTTTAAAAGAACCCAAGCTACATCTGCTTCCAAAAAATTGGTTAAATATTTTCAGGATATGTACATGACGCACATGTGTAAAATAATCTATCCTCCGGGTTTAAAAATTTAAGTGCTACCCCCTTTTACCTGTAGCTTCTAAAAGCTGTACAATATTATATTCTTTGCATTTCTCTTCATTTGTCTCGGTAAAACCCGACCCAACCAGTATCGCTTACGCAGGAATTCTGAGGAAGTCAGCCAACCGTATAGGCAAAAGGTCTGAAAAGCCTCATGCATTCCATCTTGCTATGACTAATTACACAATTGCATCTAAAATTTTCATCTAAACTTTCCTGTAGAATAGTACATAGGCAGCAGGAGTCTTTATCATGTCCTCACTAACAGAATCGACCCTGCTGTCGTCAAAATCATACCATTTATCATAGCCATACTGCAAGAGAATAAAAACAGTTGAGTTAGGACCAATAAACATATAAATAAAAAATAAAAAATAAAAATAAAAAAACATATTGTATCAACTAAAAAATAAATAAATCAATAAGATTAAGGATGTCAAATAAAAATTAAAAACTAATTGTACTGCACATGCAACTTACAATTAGTAAAAGGTTTAAGTAATACACGAAAATTATAAAATTATATGGAAATCTTATGTGCTCTAACATACTCTGGAACAAACTTCTAAAAAACTAAACTAGAAAACTACATTTCACCGTCTCAGGTAGTCTGTCAAAGCTCTCTTCACACTGGCCACACATATCATAACATTGTTTGTCACTGTCCACTTAATATCTAAATATATGTAATAGACTAATGGAATACATGGGACCTGTTTAATTAGAGTTTCAGATTTTTATTTGATTTTTTAATTAATAATCACAAACGCTTTGTTCCTTCCCTGATTCTAAATAATTGAATTAGAAATGGTGTAAACCGGAAATTAAAGTAATTGTTAGTAAAAAAACAGTACATAAGCTCATAGTTTTTCTATGGATAAACAATCACCCCCTAATATTATAAAAAAAAATGTGGAAGAAATTATTCTAATGTTTTAACAGAGCAAGAGACATTAGAAATTGTGAGGTACTTACACGGACAAATGCTGTATAGTGACCTCCTCCTAACCCTCCATAATGACAACTAATTGCATACAACACATAGAGGTTGGAAGACTGACTATTCCCATGGACTACATATGTTGATAAGTCCAGATCATTAATTGGGAAATCGACAAATGTTTCCAGCTTGTTCTTGAAGTATCGGTTGTATGAGAACCTCTTTAAATGAACAACGAGGATTTCAGGCAATCTCCAAAGATCTAGTTTTTTAGTTGCTTGCTGAGGTTTTTTGCAGGTAGGACAGTACCTTGTGTACAGGAAATTGCAATATCAAACATCATAAAGACTTTAATCTTGATTATAACACATAAAACATGATGACAATTAGTATTAAAGATATAATGTTCTCAAAACAATAATAAAAAAACTTCAAAGGTAAAATAACAGACTTGATATCTCATATATCAACTAACCACATATCTTCTGGCCCAAGAGGTTCCTCTTTCAAGAAGGCTTCAAGGCATTTGTAAATAGAAACTGATTCTTGCATTCTCTTGGTGGCAAATAGCTGGGGCTTGAAAACCTCAGGCAATGAGTCAAGCAGGTACGTATCATACATTTTAAGCATCTTATCTGACCACAAGACAACTATCTCCAGCTTTCTGGGAAACATTGTGACTGGTAATGGTTTGTTCAATATTATCTTGATATTCTCTATTCCTTGCAAGTAGAATTCAATGTCAGTTGACCAATGTATGTCATCCTCTGTTCCACTGTTTGAGTCTGCATCACTTGCTATTGCTGCAGAGTTAGTAGTATCACCCAATTCATCATCTTCACTTAGCCTTTTATTAACACCATCATCCTTATCATACTCATCTAATATATCTTCAGCTTGCATCAAAAATGGCTTCATTAACTTCAGAAACTCCCTTTGAACATCATATCCAGAAGAAATACCGGACACCCTTGTTACCAGGGGGAAACCAAACAACTTGTTTTCAAACATCTCCTTCCCAGTACTGTAATACATGATACAATAAATTTAGTGTACCAAATAAGAGCACATATGTAAGCAAATTGAGAAACAACCAAAAACAAAATAACTTCAACAGACTCATCTACCGAATACACACAAAATTTAACCCCAAAATTTGCTTAGATAACCATTTCAGAAACAAAAACTACTGCAGAGGAGCTGAAAAATGTGTATGTTTTTTATACTTGACATATAAGCCCAACTTGTATAAACCAATCATATTAGCAATCTTAGACGACTGCGTAGTTAATTTGGATATTTGCAAACTTTTATGATTGCAGAATCTAAAGTTAATTTTTATTTAAATATTAGGGTGGTAACAAATGTGAAATTATTAGATTAGATCCTTTAGGAGTATAGGCAATTATGCAGCCAACAGTTTAGGTCATGCTGTGAGGCAAAAATATTCTATCATGACATTGCCACAGTGGGAGCATGTATTGCAGGTCTTAGGGTACACCGTACACAATAATTATTCATGACATACAGAGAAAGATATCGTAGGAATGAAACTAAAATAAAATACTTGTCTGTAAAAGGAGTGGAATGGGGGCATAGAGAGACTTACTTTTCCACCAAACGTTCTTGCACAAAAACAACCAAGAGACTAGCTTCATTATACTTCTGCATTCGGTAAGCAACAATTTTGTCTTGATCTCTAATATCACTTAACAAATCAGATGGATCCTCGTATACTCGAAAAATTTTATTCTTGTATATCTGTCCATAACTCCATAAAGTCATAATTTAATAATAATACAGTATACTAGCATGAAAAATGTTTACATTAACCTAATATATATAGTTAGAACATCTCAATAATGTGTCATTTAATTTCTAACTTTTACAACATACCTCAGCCACCAAGAGGGTTTCATCATCTCTCAGGGAACAAAAAGCAATTAAGGCCCCAATAAGATCCTTAAGTGTTCCACGTTCAGGCACTGTTACCGTAATTGTAGAAGGCAATGTAATCCCATCAGTACTTACGACTGTCAAAGTCATGGTCCGTATTGTAGTAGAAGGTAAAGGCAGAGATAGATACATAAAAGGGTCAAATGTGATAGAAACCTTCTTGCAAATAGGGCAAACCAATGTCGACCGAAATTGACCCTACAAGATAATGGAATAAAGTAGAGATTTAATTCCAAAACCAAAAGTGTGAATTATTTAATTAATTTTAACAAATATAGATTTGGTATTGCTTCCTAATTAATGTATTGCTGCTTTTATTTTTTTAAAAAGGCTAAAGAAATGATTTTTTAAACCTCATTCAACAAGTGAGCTCAGTGGCAGCTAGTAGCCAGTTCACCCTAACAGTCGCTCTAACCCTTCTTTAATAATATTATAATCTGATATACAACAAATGAACAAATTAAAATATCTTTTTGAGATATCTGTTTGATTGGTTCCATCAAAAATTTTCATGCATCACTGATGCAAAAAGCCTAGGGGATACTGAACCCAAAATTAAGTTAAAAATCTATAATGAGAATTGCACAAGGGAGAAATCCTATACGACTCACTTGGCACAGATCAACTATTATGGAGTCATTGCGAGCAAGGTGATTTCGCCAATACTCTTCTGCCACTTCTTCATCTGGACGACCATCTGCATCCTTAACTTCATGATATGGCTTGCGTTTTACACGATTAAGGTCTTCATGCAATCCATCCAACAAAAAAGCAAGAAGTTCCTGCATGCCAGAAACTTCAATGTTTTATAAAATTATTTCCTCTCATGTCAACAAAGGAAAATCTATCAATAATAAGAGATGCCCATGGAAACAACAATTTTTTTAATGCATATTATTGTTGTTGTTATTATTACAATAATAAAAAGATAAAGGTATTAACTTGGGAGTCATGCTGGCCATAACCACTAAACTGAGGAGCAAAATTAGCCAGTTTCATCTTGAACGTTCTTGGTGCAATGGGCATTGCTCCAGGAACCCACAGCTTTCTAAGTAAGTCTCCAAAAGCTAGAGCAAGTTCTCCCTGAAATATTTTTGCATAATGAGAGAGAAAAATAAGCAAAGAAAATAAATAATTAATAATACAAACAAACAAAAAAAACATGTTTATTAATGAGACTAACTTAAAAAACAGAAAATAAAGAGCATACATTCATTCCCAACGGATTTTCACAATTTATCTCTTTACGGTAATCTCCAAGGAAGAAATCAACAAGCTTTGGGGTGTGAGCCAAACACTGAATGGCACTATTCATAAAACATGTATTTCCAAGATTTTGTAATCCTGTCAAACCCAAAGATCGAATTGCTTTATAGCTACTGCCTCGAAAATAGTTGGTCTCTGTTACATAGGGGATCACATTGTCAGGGCTTCCATTCATTATAACAGAGCCACTATGAGAACATTCCGTCTGAGACCTATCTAAAATCATCTCATTGCTCCCATTACTGCTCATAGAATCTGGAAGTCCATGAACTTGTAACTCCAGAACAACCTGAATAGACATGGAGCAGCAGAAATAATATAAACAGCTGATATTCAAATGTGAAAAGTTTCAAAGTTATCAGGCACATAGTCAATTTCAATATACCACCATCAGTTAGCAAACATTTAGTTTCTAGTTAGACCACCACAAAATTGAAATTCTTTTAACAAAATTATGTCAAAAGAAAATAGAAGAAAAAATATGGATCACCTACCTCTTTTACAGGTTGACCAGTAGAATCGTTTGGCAACCTACCTTTGTCATTCAAGAAGAACTGGGTTGTCTGCCCTGAAAAGTCCCAAATATGCACCTGCATCATCAATAAAATAGAATTATACATAACCAAGGTATTATAGACAATCTATAAACAAACAGAAAAAATCAGTAGATAGCTTACTCACAGATTCATATGCAGAATTGAAAATGTCACAAGCCTTCTCATAGAATTCAGCTGCATTTTCCTGAAAGCATGCCACCTATTACCATTACTAATTATACAAATATACTTTAAATAAAATAAAAAATACAACTCGAGCTCTTTCCATAAAAAATGTTCACCCTAGACAAAAACTATCCTTAAAAAGAAAACAAACAAATCATCATTCAACCTTTTGGCTTATCTTTGCTACCAGGGAACTGGTTTCCCATGAAACAAATATCTTAACTTGCAAGGGGAACAAATCCAGCAAAGAGTCCTCCGCATAGGAGAGGCTTCCAAAATCTTTCACTGCATTATTAAAGTCATTATACCTACAAAAAGAGTAAGATGAATGATGAATCAATTTTCTACTTCTGTAAACTATATTTTCTTGTAAGAACCATGTAAAAATATTTTCTAACTTGAAATGGAAATAAATCTGAAGGAAGATCTTTTATCAGCATAAGACTTATAATATTGTTCAATGGAGTTAAAATCACTATGTCAGTGGGAAAGCAACAATAAATCAATACTAAATTTCTATTACATATGCATAGTATAATCCAGAAAAGAGTACTATAGAGGCTACACACAGACAGCAACAAAAGGGTGCTAAAGAAACGGGCATAAAAGCACTTTGGTTTGCCATTCGGAATAAAACCTGATGGCTGGTGCATTTTAGTGTCACACTGGCATTAAAGGAAGACATGCTCACCTCACCAGGTGAGATACTCCTAGCAAAAAGGGCATCCTATTGTTCCATGACTCATTTACTGCACTCTGTTGTAACAATTTCTGTCAACACCATATGATAATGACCTATAAGCGGTATTGGAGGAACATTTATTAGCACCACGAACCTATCCTTAAATAATTCTCCACCACTTAATTTTTAGGCTCTTAGTATTTGCTTACCAGCTGCCAAGGCAAGTGCAGGTGAAGGATGTGAACCATTTGGCTTACATTTCGACTCCAAAAGGAGCAGTGCAGCTGCTAGTGTTGATCAACTGTCGGACATGCCTGAAGCTGTTTCAACTAAGGTCTACAATGAAAACTTAAAGGAGTTGGTGGCGCAACCAGGGGGACACACATTTGGACCCAATGGATGGAGACTGCATCCCAGAGCTACAATTGCAATAAGAGCCTGTTTGATAAACTTCTTTGGAAGCACTTTGGAGAGTAAAAAATATGAAGAAAAAATGAAATAAGTTTCTCCATAAGCTAAAATTAACTTTAGCACAAAAGCATATTTAAAATTTTTTGGAGAAGTTATATGGGAAAGTTTCTTTAAATTAGTTTATGTATAAGCTAAAATGAACTTGTGGAGAAACATACTTCATTTTTTTTCCTATTTTTTCATCCTAAAATTGTTTTTGTAGTGTATGACACCAAATAAAAAAGGCAACCATGTGCAGTTCGATCTGGCAAGGCCACGGTTCAGATTTAGCTCTTCCTTGATTATGCATATGGAACAAAATGATGTCATAGGAGGGCAAGCTAACCAAACAAGCTACTCCCAAGTCCTTACAACGGCATGACTATCTCAAATTTAAATTCTAAACTCGGCCATCCTTCTATGCATAACCTTGTAAGGTTACCAGCCCTTAAAAGAAACAAGACACTATTTCATAACTATCACAGAGAAATCCCCCAGTCGCACTATTCTCGTACATTTCATTTCACAACACCCTATTCACACCTGACACCTCCAAACTCCACAATGGACTTTCTCAGTACCTCACCCACAAACAATTATCTAGACTACCTCATTAGCTTGTCGCAACCCAAAAAGGAAAGAATAAGCAAATAACCACAAATAAAAAACACCATGCCTAAAACACACCGAAAAACCAACCCCAATTCCTAGAACAAATCCAAATTTTGCTTAATTTCAGCAAACGCTAGCTACAACTCAAATCGCGACTCACCGTTTGAGAGCACGCAACCAAATTCCCTCGGGAACCAACGCATACTGACGGGAAGAAAACCTAATTTTGTGGCGGTCCTCTTCCTTCCTCAGATGAAGCAAAATCTCGGAGTCGGAATCGGAATTGCACGCCACCGTATACAAAACGCCCTCTCCACCACGTTCACCTTCCGCTTCCGACCACCACCTTCACTCCACCCAAAAATAAATAAATTTCTGATAAAGCAAAAGCACAAAAAGCATTGGAATGCGAAGGACCTGTGGGGGAGGAGGTAGACCCGGTCGTGGCCGAAATCGCGTTCGTCGTCCTGGAGGAAGCGGCGGTGGGGGCGGGAGGAGGAGGAATCGAAGTCGTCGGAGATGTAGTCGGAGAAGAGGGTGTCCATTGCGAGGAAGGGTAGGGTTTGGGAGAGTAGGAAGCGAGCGAGGGACTTGCAGAGATGATGAAGAGTAGAGAGAGAAAGAAGAGCGAGAAAACGGGTCGGTTTCGGTAGCAACCAACGCAAACGGAGCTTCTCTCCAAAACGGGTCATATCATATCACACAAATACGATAGCCCCCTCCCTTTAACAACTACATCACGTTTTAAAACACACAACACAATTTTTTGCCCCCCTTTTTTTTAATAAAAATATAAATTAATTTCTTGAGTTTTTTGCTAATGCTTCTATAATTGACATTGTTGTTCGGTGGCATCAAATTCCTACATGAAGATGAAAAGAATGGTCCCCAAATCACGTTAAAGTGTCTTAATTAATTAGATCAAGTTTCAAGACTAAATATCTTTATCGTAAAGATTTTCAAATCTTTTTTCGAAGTTGTTTTGTTTTAACCGTTGCGGAAGATGTTAGGAATTCTCAACAAGTTAAAAGAATATTTGAACCTAAAAAATCAAATATATTCATTATATAATAGAACAAACAAGTGTCCTAAATTGAATCTTATAAATAAAAATAAAAGTAATATTAAATAAATTGTTGTGATAAACAAAATTGTATTCTTTAAATTTTAAGATAACTTTTATTAAAATTAATGCATTTGCCTTATAGTTACTTAATATAAAAATTTTAAACTATTAGTACATTTAAAAATTAAATTTTATTATTAAAATCAATATGTGTATCATATATAATATTTTTCATTAAATATTAATGTAAAAATTGTTTATTATGTTTTATATTTTATATATAAAAATTATAATAGTTATCTCAAATAAAAATATTTATAAGAAGTATTATTTAATTAGATCATTTTTTAATTAAAATTTTATTTATTTTGATAAATATTTTATATATTTATATGTTAAATTTTATGATTTTAAAATATTAATAATTAAAAATAACTTTATATCATATTATAAAAGAATTATCATAATTTTAAAATATAATTTATATGTTTAAAATATTTATCTAGAATGAGAATATTGATAAAAAAAATTATTGTTAAATGGGATTATTTTAAATTTTTTGTGATTATTTATTTTAATATATTTTTTATATATTTATAAATTAAAT